AAATAATACCATGCCTCACCCCACTAGGCTCTCCTACAAATGTAACTTCGGGTAATCCAGGACAATGAAATGTGACTGTCTTTCCATAACAATCTATCTTGGCACGATTATAGTGCAACCAATCAGTGCCCAAAATAACATCAAAATCCATAATATCCAACTGCATAAGATTAGCCGGCATAATAACGTCCTCTACTATCATTGGACATCCTGGATATACTCGATCCACAAAACATCTATCCCCTCTAGGCATAGAAAACTCTAATTTATATCCTAGAGGTTTGGGATGGGGTTGTGTCACTTGAGCAAAAGTATGAGAAATAACAGAATGTGTAGCACCACAATCAATCAATCAATCCTCTGGCAAAATGACCAAGAATATTTAATGTACCCATGATTAAATCTGGATTATTCTAGACATCTTGCAGTGACATGTTGTGGATACGCCCCTGATTCTGTTGTCGTCCACAACGACCTCTGTTGGCATGAACACCACGTCCCTGCCTCTGCTGACTCGACTGCCTCGAAGATCCTGCACTACTAGCAGCAATCTCTCCCTGCTGGGGCTGTCCCCCCTGATACCACTGAGATTCTCCGGTTGAATGTGGCTGATAGGACATAGATCCTCCCTGATATTGAGGGTACCCACTATGATACTGAGGATCCTGAAAGTACTGCTGCTGTCTTGAGGTGTAAGGAACGACGTCACCCTAATAATGGTAGGCACCTCCTCATCTAGTCTGAGTATAACCACCAGATCTTGAAGCTTGTTGGGTCAGTGTATGTGGTGGGAAGGAAGGCTGTTGGGGTCTCTGCTGACTCTAAGGGCATTGAGCAGCCCTATGACCCATTTGACCATAATTGAAGCATCCACTGCTACCTCTCCTACACTCCCCAAAATGCCTAATATTACATCGGCGACATAAGGGAGCACCGGATCCACCTGAACCACCAAAATCTCTCTGCCTCTGAAACCTAAGGCCTCCAGTAAATCTGCCACCTCTCCTCTGCATATTAGTACTCAATCCCCCGCTAGAAGAGCTAAAATTGCCACCACTCCTCTTAAAGTTCTGACTCTTGCAGGGTCCCTGAAATGCTTTCCCTTTTCCTTTGTCATCTCGTCTCTGGCCCTCATTCTTTCCTTCCTCATCCTCACTATAGAACACCATTTCTTCTTAGCACCCAATCTGAAATGACGAAGCATCTTAACCAGATTAGCAGCAACCTCATGCTCATATCTCGACAGATCAGTAAACATCCTGTAATACTTATTAGCTGACATCTTTCCTTGCCTCAAATGAGTAAACTTTTGTTTCTTCCGATCAATATACTCCAGAGGAATAAACTTTTTCCAAAACAGCTCTTTAAATACTCCCCAATCCACAATCTCTGCTGGGGTCAACAGGTAAGACTCCTGTCTCTACCAGGATGCAGGCTGCTCTCCTAAAAACCAGGTAGTCGTCTCGACCCACTTATCAGGAGGAAGATTCCCATGACTCTGCATCACTTGAAAAGTCTTATCAATATGATTAAGCCATTTTTCTGCCCCCTCATGACCTTCATTTCGAATGAAGTGAGTCAACTTCAGGTTATAAACTGTCTTAAGAGGTGTCCTCTGGGGAGTACGGAATGTAGACTGAATGGCAGATACTATAGCTTCCCCTAATTGGGCAATATCGGGGAAACTAGGTTAAGCTGATTGAAGGGGCTCTCTACGAGGCGGCATAGTTATGACATAAGTAATCACAAGGATTAGAACATTCAAGAATTATATAGGACTGGTAACCCTAGGCTCTGATACCAAACTGACACACTCCGACCGAGATTAAGGCATGTTGGCCGTCATGTGAGAGTGACGTAGCCATGTGCACAGTGCGGAAGTAATAAGGATAAGAGTTATACGAATAATTAAAAACCAAATTACTAGAGTGCACTACAAAACAGGAAGTGATAAGAGTTAGTTACAACAGTAAACACTCCTAATCAAAGCATATTAAGTTTAGGTGCAGTCTAGTAGGACAATGCTAGTTACACAGTACCAGGAATGTCCTACTATTATTTAGATAGGTCAGAACTGCCGACGTCCTCAAGCCACCAACAACAAGCTTACTTAAAACCTAATGGGGTGCAAAACAGAAAACGTGAGTGGGCAAAGACAAATGTTTTACAAAACCATTTCATTTATCAACATATCTAACCTCTCTCTGTAAAACAAGTATAATTTTTCCCAGAATCAAGATATAAGCATATACATAAATATATATGAAATCATAACAAATCAATTCAATTCATATAATCATTTTCATATATATGCCATACCAAGATATAATAGAATAAGCAATTCAGGTAAGAATAATTTCATAGAAACATAACATGTGAGCCGGAGCCCCTATGGTAGTCTGTACGGCTGAATTCATAGCTCAAAAGTCACTCTAGCCGGAGTCACTACTATGACCTATACGGCGATATACTGCACAAGAGTCGGAACCAAACAAAAAGGTCTATACGACAATAATGGGTGTAATATAATCATGCTCAATACTACTCTCACATAATAGCTAGGCGATAAATCGCTAGTCACCTACGAGTCGGAACCATAAATAAGGTATGTAGGACAAGACTGTGCACCTAAATTGGATCCAATATGAGTATATGGTGCCAAAGGTGACATAATAAACTGGCATGTGCGATATCTATGGCTAAATCACAATCACCCTAAGTGCAGTTTTATGAGCTCAACATTATTCAATCACATATCGTATCATCGATGATTCACATAACCAAACACAACTTACTTGAACTTACTTGAGCGTCCACAGCACCACATTTATATGTATAAATCATCACATACCAATTTATGTATGAATTATAAACTTATATGCATGCCATTATGGCATAATATCATTTAAACACATATTTCTGGGAAAAATATCAAGTATGTAATATATACTGAAAACCAAAAGCCCACTCACTGGTATGTCGAAGGGTCGTAGCCCCCGAGTCGCCCTTGGATACGCTCGTCCTCGGGATAAGTCTCACCTATATGCGAATTAAGTATAAAAACGTTATTTTAAAGCACATATGCAAAACTAGCTAATAACTTCTCATACATAGCTCAAATTGGGTATATGGATATACCACAGTGACCTACACAACCTCAGGATCATCCCCAAAATTTTACATTATTTTTTGGACCTCTCACACGCCGCCACGTGCCGGCGAGTGCAAGGCAAGACGCGCCGCCACGCACAGGGAATCCTGACGGATTCCCTAACTGCCATTAGGAATATTCCCTAGAATATTCCATGAAAACCCAACTGAATCCGTCCAACTAACTGACGGCATTGGAATATTCCGTCATCCCTACCATTGAATCTCCGGCGACCGTCGCTGGCTCCGGAAACTGGGTAAATCTTTGAAACACTTATTCTCCTTCGTTTCTTTACCAAATCTTATGAAATTTAAATCAAAATGAAGCTAAAGACAAGTAGAAACATGATATAACAATTTGGGTCCTTGAAATTCACGGGAACACGTCTGAAATTACCTCGACTTTCTAGCCAAATTTAAAACTTGTCGATCTCCACTTTCTGACGTCCAAAATCCTCAAATGAACTATCCTTAGCCTCCTAGGGACCTCACAAAGCTTCCTATAAGCTTCAAATTCCATAAAAACAAGCCTTAAATTTTTGCATTAACAGTACTTCATTCGGGGTTAGGGTTTTCACGTGATTTCGAAGTAGTTCTTACCTGTAAATGGTATGGATGCGTTCGTTTGAGCTTCACGAACACAATGGTGTCATTTTCCACTTCGATCCGTCACGTTTGCAAAGGTTTTGGTTGACATCCGTACATAGAAAGGAGAGAGAGAGTGAACCGAGAGAGAGTGTGTATGGAAGTGAGAGAGATGAGGTGATGTGGATGTGTGTGTGTGGTCTAGGATTGGTCAACAACCCAAAATACACAATTACTTAATCCTAATTGGTCCCAAACAATTAGGATTTGAGAATAGTGACCCACAAACAACACTTAAACCACATCACACAATTTAACGTCCATGGGTATTTCCGTCATTTCACATCATCAAGAATAACATAATGTACATCTCCGGGACGGGCTGTGACAAATTATGTATGATTCTTTTTTTTTCTTTGTCAAAATGTGTGATTCTATTAAAATCTATTGTTTTGATGGGATATGCATTCTACGAAAGTAATTTCAACGATCCAACCGTCAAAATTGTTTGTATAAACTCTTAAATCACCTACATAAAAAAATCGCAAAAAACAAACATTAAGAGATTATGTAACAGGACAAATTTTTTCGACAGTTATAAACAAAAAAATCACTATTTAACGATTATTTTAGCTCTGATTTTAATGATTTTTTACAGCTACACTCCTCGACCCTATATTAATACAATGAAAGAATTTGATCTTGAATTTAAAATATTTACACTCGTAGTTATCACAAAATCTTATGTTATACTTAATGGAAGTATAAAATAAACTCTAACTGTTAGTGAATCTATTGATTTGACGGGATACACATTCTACGAAACTAAACTAGTTTCAACGATCCAACTATCAGACTTATTTGTATATACTCGGAGATTGCATACGTAAAAAATCACCAAAAACAAACATTAGAGATTAGGTAGCAGGACGAAATTTTTTTACGGTTATAAATGAAAAATCATGATTTAAAGATTATTTTAGCTCCGATTTTGTATTTTTTTTTTCTTTTTACAACTACACTTCTCGATCCTATAAGAAATACAATGAACTAATTCGATCTTCAATTTAAAATATTTGAACGCGAATTGATTCCCCTTGCAACCTCCTCCACTTTAGGCAACTAACCAAAACCTAAGTGCTTACTTCGGACCTACACCACGAATCGGTAGCACGTTAAATATACTAAGCAGATAGTTTTCTTGCACCTAACGCACCACCGAAATACTAATTCTGGGTTCTTTTTTCAAAAGAACGAACAATGAATGAGTCAAAAAACTATGTTACAGGCAAAACATATCGAATTTGATGGCAACAAGTAACGCTGCGCTTCATGTGCAGTTTGTGTAATAAGTTAAGAAAGATTTACTGTAAAATTGATGGTAGAAAGGAGACAAATAAAAGAAAATTAGAACAAATGTACTTTATTTTTCAGTACACTAGTATTCAATCGATCGTCTATTGAAGTCTCTTAATCCCGGGAAATGAGGGGAGAACTGCAACAAGAGCATCACCATATCCGACGGGATCTGTTAAGATAAACCGAAAATTACATGATAACGTGACACCAGTAGCATCAACAAAATCCGGCATTAAAATAACTGAAATGTATAAAAACTTACCGCCATCTTCTCGAAGTATCCTGATAACCTCCCCAGCTACATCAGACTTCAAAAGAAAAAATGGATAAGTCAAAAACCATGTTAAAAGATACGGGACAACAGCTGGGAGGGGAAGAGACAATTGAACACCCTGCGTCTGTCATCTGTGCATACCTCAATCGGGAGCTCCCCACCAAGCTGTTCTATGTAGCAAATCACTTGTCCCTCCTTCACGGTTTGCTTCTGTTGTGTAAAAAGGAAAATATTAGAAAAGTCACTTAAGAGACTAAAGCATTTTGTCAATGATATGATAAAGAGAGTATATCGGTTGTATATAATAGTGCGATATACAGTATAGTACAAAATGAACCTATACTAAGCCGAAAAATTAACAAGCCAAGAAGAAATACAAGCCCATCAAAGGTCCAAAATTAAGCAAAAGAAAACAAATCATCCCCACTTCCTGGCAGTGTGCCAGCCATTACTGCCTTTAAGCAAGCACGAAATTCCACAACTTTTTACTCAAAATTAACAAATCATCGTAAAAAGATGTACCTCTTTACATGATGGTGGAGCACGCTTCCCCTTTATGGTTCGAGATCTCCTAAACAACCCCACCTGCACCATTGGTTATTTTAGTATCCAGATTTTATAAGATGATAAAGTGCATGTTGTTTGGCTTCTTACTCGTGGAGAACGAATTAACACCAAGCCATCATCTGCCGCTCTATTTAGCAAAGTCTGGATACTCCTCGAAGACGATTCTTGTCTAGTGATAGCTACAGATTGTGTAGGAACAGTGCCATTCGAATCAAGTGCTTTAGCATTTTCACTAGCACTAACAGGAACAGGACTTGGGGGAGGTGGTGTGCTAATTTTTTCAGTCAGCTGCCTCACCACATTTAACCGAAATCCACCGATCTGATTATGTGGTTAGATTGTGTGTATTAATAATATACCGGATGGAGGATCAACAGAAGCACCCCATACTAATAGGAAGCATAAAGAAAAAAGGAGAGTGGTTCGGAATGAAAAATTTAATCGTATGTTGCAAGATTATTTACAATTCATGTAAATTATTAAGTTAAAATAGAGAAACAGTCTTGCTTACTTTTACTTTGACCTCTGCAACTGTAGTTGTATCACATATTGCTGTGAGCAAAGATTGTATCTACAAACAAGATTAACCAATGTAGAGGTTTCAAACTCAAAAAAGTGGTCACAAGCATGCTTTTTTGTGAGAAAATGATAAGAGAAAATTCTGTAATCTAATTATAAAGAAAACGAAAGCCATGAATTGCATGGCAACGCTAACAGAAGTAAACTTCAACAGGAAAAATTTATGGGGGCACTTCAACAACCTATGATGCGTGGATACTTCAATTTGGTCGTGTGTTAAGATAATATTGGAAACAAGCAGTAGACAGATTTCATAAAAATATCCTTATATTTCACAATACCATCCAGGTCTATACTAAACCGGCCTAGAAATACATATTTTACAGTCTAAGAATGAAACTTGTCTTTTCTTTCTTATATTCAAGTACTAAAAAGCATTATGTTCAGATATACAATAGACCATAGCAGGATTTCCCAAAACCAGTGATGAAGATTAAATGCATGCAACTTGTGGGTTATAGCAAACCTACCAATAACCTATTTTCTCCCTTTTTTTTCAACACAAACTAAAAAAGTAAACTTGTGCAACTAAACGCAACTGGAAGGATTTTACATTTGCTCTTCATGTTTGTCTTAAATGCAACTGGAAGGATTTTACACTTGCTCTTCGTGTTTGTCTTACCATTTGATACATAAAAAGCATGCCTACATTCAAAACTGCACTAATCTATAATTATTTGTCAAATTTAGACATGGGGCATAGAATAAGGGTCGTAAATTATTAGTGAACTTACCTTGTCAAAATTTTGAAGGAGCTGGTTTGTCGGACCAGAATCTCCACTCTCTTCAGGAACCTCTTCTAAACTTGTAGCAGCTATTACATCATCAACAAAAGCATTGTGTTATGAATAGATTATACATTACAAGAACCGATATTATCATGTCAATACCATATGCAGTGTAAATATTCTTTGAGTTTCTACAAGCTCGTACTTCAAACTGTCATATTCAGTAAACGTACCTGTACTAAAAAAAATGTCATACCCAGTTACTATGCCAACGGGACAGATTCTCAAGTTTCAGAGCTCATGTATTGGAGGGGAAACAAATAAAGAATGAAAGGGAAATTATGACAGAACAAAATATAGAAAGAAAAGATTAAAAAGTCTAACATTTACAAATCAGTCAAACTTACAATATCCGTCGAATTATACACAATAATAATCCCAAGATAATGCCTACCCAAAGATTACTGGATATATAAATATGACCAAATATGACTTAACAGGTTTCAAGATGAACACTATATTTTTGGAAATGCAACAATGTACCTCCAATCATTTGTTCAATAAAAAATATGATAAACAAATATCATTCGTCTCTTCAACATTGATTGAAGAATATAATAGGAATAGACTGTAAAATCACATACCATACCTAGACAATGTAACTGAAGAACAATGGATTATTTTTCTTTGAAAAACTGTTTGGTAAAGTGCATATAATTGCATTTGTAAATATATCCAGACTATCAAATACTCAATTTCCATGTCATTTTCACTTCAGTATGAGCTACTGCACAAATTTTATAAGCTTCAAATAAACAGAGATTCTAATGTAATAGCATGTAGATATTTATGTACATGCATCGGTTGTTGAGAAGCCATTTGTGATTGAATAAGAATCAAACAAACTTGATGTTTCAAGTACTGATAAGCAAACTCCAGATTTGATTGATGTTTCAAATACTGATAAGCAAATTCCAGACTTGATGTATAACTACTGAGGGACGAAAAGGAAACAATTTACATCAATAAAATGAACTTACACAGGGTTTCTAGTGATGGAATGCTGCGCACATGTAATACTTTCTCTGGCTGTCTTGATATCGATAAACATGAGTACAATTGTGGTTTTCTCCCCGTCCAACTTCTTACGCCATATGACTTTACAACCCCAACTCTTGCTCTACCGAAATTCAAGTTTGTGATTTTAGCATTCAATGTCCCTAGGCTACCTGCCACCCAAATCCTATCAGAAATGATCAAATAACTAAAATCATATAATAAAATATGAATCGTGCAGTGCATCGACTAGCTTGATATAAGAAATGATTCCACGAAAAATAAGCAGACAATAAGAACCCTTTAATTAAATTTCAATCAGAATCTGTTGCAATACAATTGTAACATATATACGACCCAAGAAAGCAGTTCTTCACCTTTTCTATCTTTCTATATCATTTACCAATTACCATAAGAAACCAGACCCAATTGAATTCAGAATCAGATTCACAGGAAAATTGATGGCAAAGCATCAAACAAGTACTAAGCACTGCTGCATTTACATGGTTAACCTATTCTATGATCAGTGCAAAAAACTTCCACGGATACATGCTGCAAAATCCCAACCCCAATTTCCAACTGGATCAATAGATTAATTAACCAAAAACCCACATCCCCAAAACCAAAAACAACCAATATAAACATTGAAGTCAGAGTTTTCTCAAGTGTGCTGTCTGTGTGTGGAAGAGAGAGGGAGAGAAGGAGAGAGGGAGAGGGAAGAGAGAGAGACTCACTGGAAGCCATGAAGATGGATGAGCCTGAAGGGGGGCCAGAGAACGAAAGAAAATGGAAAGAAGTTTTAGACACTTCACAGAAAATAACACAAACGAAATGTCAGTGAAACACCGCAGAAATCAGAGAGAATGATGGAGAGAGAGAGAGCGAGAGAGTAAAAGTTACAGACTTTGAGAAGCTGAGACACACGGCCAAGAAATGACAATTGAGTAGGAGGACCAGTTAATCACTACCCAACATACAGCTGGAAACTTGGATACGTAGTGGCTGGGGCCAACCGGCCCAAGCCCAAACCTTGATTTTCCTCAACATATTTTGCCCTTTTTTTAATTTTTATTTTCATCTCTTGTTTTCAAATGTATAGTCATGTTTGGTGTGCCAACAAAATTATGTTTTTGTGTTGGTGATTTTTAGTTTCAATTGGACTCTTGGTCTTCTTCAATCTTGATGGAAGGTTTCAACTAAAGTCAGCAATGGATGATTTGATTAATCTAATTTTACATAATTAGAAACCATTCTAATTCAATTTTGTAGGAGTATCCACAAACTGAATAATAGCATCTAGCAATGGCTATCAGCTACCTAGATTAGCCAGAATATGTTTGAGTTCATACAACAGATATTTAGAACCTTAGTTATGGTTACAGTATTGTGGATGCAAATTTCTTCCTCCTTGATCTGGGACAATTTTGCACCTACAAAACAATTAACACCTTATGTTAAGGCCAAGAGCCTCACACGCTCACAATGAATGGAGGGGGGGCTTTGGCCGAAGAACCGGCGATGCCAAAGTTAGAATTTAGAGAGAAAGAGTGTTTAGAGAATTTTGGGATTTTTGCCAAAGTGTTGGAATGATGTTTTTGGTGAAAATGGGAGCTTATTTATAGGAATAGGCCAATCCCTTTTGGAGAGGGAGTGGCCGGCCACCAGTTAGGGTTTTCTAGGTTAAATTTTGGTTTAATTAGGAGTTATGAAATAATTCCTAATTAATCAAAATAACTCCCTAATTAACTTAGCTAATTATTATCATAAAAAGGAAAGATGTGATAGAAAAGGTATAAAGCATGGCTGATTTATTTTGGGGATGAAAGATGGCCGGCCTTTTGTGGGAGTTAGGGTGAAATGAATGTTTTAATTGACAATTAAGGGATTGATTAGGTGATTAATCCCTTAATTAGTCAATTATTATGATTTTTAAAGAAAGGTTTTAGGAAATATGAAAGGAATATATTATTTAGCTAATGGATTAGCTAAATAATGGAATATAAAACATATAGAATAACTTAGGTTTTGGGAATTACCTTATAGAAAGGATTTGATGAAATAGACTTTAAATTGTTACCTATTTTGGGCACTTTTGACTTGGTTGAAAGATGATTACCCGCTGCTCGCGCGTAGGGAACCCGTTATGCCTCAAGGGTATTTTTGTCCTGTTTTGCCCAAAAATCCACGTGTCGCCTTGTGATTATTTTTGGCTCCACAAATGCCCCCACACCTGTTGGGCTGCTCGTAAGAAAGGGTAGCAGGTGTAGAGATCATCTTGTTTTAGGAAACGTAGGATTGCTTCCTATTTTGATGTAAATTCTCTCTTTAATAGGAAATTAGGTCCTTCTAGGAAAGAGAAATAAATTTCTCTCGAAGCCTATTTAAGTGCACCTTAAGTGGGTTATTAAATCAACTTTGGAGAGCAATTTATTCTACGCTACAAGAGAGAGAGAGCTTAGAGGATATTTGTTCCCCCTCCTCTAGCAATCTTCTACATCTTGCTCGTGCAAATGACTGTCTTTCATTGATTTCTTCGTCTTCTTCGTGTCGCACCGATGTAAGAAAAATTTAATTTTTTCTTGTCTTATTCTTGGATAGTGCTATTACGGGGCAGCCGTCAGGGTGGTGCGGTACGTCGGCTGGTAGAGGCTAGGAGTCGGCTCGGCATGGGCCAAGGAGGAATCGTGGCAGGGGTCATTGCTTGGGCTGTTTGGCTTGGCTAGAGCCAAGGGCAACTTGTGCGGCCAGGGCTGCGGATTGTGGTGCTGGGGCGCCGTGCTAGGCAAGCCACATGACTCATGTCCTTTAGGCTCTTGGACCTTACTCGGGCCAGGCTGGCGACGGAAAGAAATGAGAAGGTCGTGGGCCTCATGGGTTGCTGGAATGCTGGGCATGCAGGACTTCTGGTTACTAGAATGCTGGGTTGATCTCATCTACTAAGTACCGTGAATGGCGTTGGCTGTTTAGTTATCTTCGCTGGAAGTAAGGTGGACTGCTCCCGAAAAATGAGGTAAAGAGGATCAAGGCGGATGCATTGGCTCGTCTGATCATTGTCGTGGAGCCTATTATGAATGACGGTGGAATGAAGAAACCTCCATCGCCTGCTCAAGATACCGGTTGATAACAATTGAAGACTTCCTCTGCTGCTCATGAGGGCATGCTTGCTGCCGAGATGCTTGTGATTGACATAACTTCTTCCAATAGGAAGAAAAAATGATGCTGCTAAATCTGAGCCTGTGGCGTTTGCCATGTCGAGAATTGCTAGTACGATTGCTGATAGGATTGCTCAGCATAGAGGTCCTGTCACGCCCCCAATGCCAAAGTCTGTACCAAGATGTCTGTTAGGAGCTAAGTCCGGTTCACCTTTGGAGAGGCTTACTACTATTAATAGTGATAAGGTGGACTCTACTACTAAAGTGGCGCCAAGGCCCACTCCCTTTACTGCTAAGACTGATCCTGCTAGGAATGAAGAGAATGTTCGCGTAAACAGCTGTGAGAAATTCACTAAGCCTGCTTCTAGGAAGGCTGAGATCTGTGTGCTTTTGAAACTAGATCTGCTTGAAGACATGGACGCCTGTGCCAAGTTTGTTGATGGCGGTAGAAAGGTTGTTTGCCCAAGTTCCTTTGCAAAGCATACGACCCAATATAGAAGGATTGCTCTACTTGCTATGATGTATAAACAGCAAAGCTGCCAAGAAGGTGGCGAAGACTATGGCAGTTGAGGCGTATTCCTTGGCTGAGGAGATCAAGAGGTTGGATTATGAGCTCGTTGAGGTTGGATTATGAGCTTGTTGTTTTGAAGGGGTATAATATTTCTGCCCCCACTTCTCTGCAACTTGAGACCACTCACCAAGAGATCATTGACTTGAAGACTAGGCTTGACGCGATCCAATTTAAGTACGATAGTTTCTAAGCTTCGTTTCACTGCTTATGCAAAGGATGAAAAGTCGATTTCTGCTTATAATCAAGTGATCCACTTCAAGAGAATTGTCGATAAGCTTGAACCCCAAGTGTTGGAACTTCAAGGTATACTGAAGATAAACGAAAGTCTAAAGAAGGAAGTGGATGAGCTGCAGTGCGTCCGTGTTGGTCTGCTTGAAAAGAATGAGCAGCTGAAGGGTGAGAAAGATGGGCTCAAGGTTTCGAGACCTTCTCTATTTCTTCAGAATACTTGCTTGCTTTTACTTTTGAGGCTTCCATTGGTGAAGTAGTTGGAGAAGTTGGTGCCCAAGTTGGGGCAGTCGGGGGTGAAGCGCTAGATGATGACGCCGCTAAGAGCGTTGCGGCTGCTGAAGGTGTGGTGACCAAATGGTCGTGGGATGTCCAAGATGCTAAAGTGTAGTCATCTAGGTAGCCTTTAGGATTTTCTTTGTGTTTCCTTGTAGCTCTTGTTTTGCTTGAACTCCTTCAGCCTTTGCTAATTGTTTATAAACATGTTTCCTTCACTTTTCTTCATCTTCGCTTTTTTTATTGATGCCCTAACCTTTAAACTTTATAGTCCAGTGGTAGGCGTGCTACTTTTTTTTATAAGCAGATAGACCCACATAGCCTATGTAGTCGTAGGTGTTGGTGTGGAGCTTTGCAAAGTTGTTAGCCATAGGGTTGGTAGCCGGATGCCTTACTTACAGAAGCAGACAAGTCTGCGTAACCACTAGGTTGTTAACCTTGGCTTTCTCCAATTCCGTAGGTTCTGTAGCAAGTATCACAACACTTTAGGACTTGGTGTAGGTTGTTCCGCGATTGGTAGAGGTGAAGTTTGTCGACCACGTAGCATGTCAGCAGTGGATAATGAAGGATGATTTTGTGAAAACATGTTCATTTGAATAACATCTATAGCATGCAATTAACAATTCAAAGGCGGAATCATGCTTGCATGCATTCAAAAACAAAACATTACCCATGAAATTCAAAGCCTAGTAGATTGTTGAACCATTAATCAACTCAAAACAAAGTGAGTTGAGATTTATACCTTTGTAGATTCCTCTTTGCATAAGCAAAGGCTAATCACCCAAAGAGAGGGCCTTCATTCCTTGCATCTTAAATCTATGGATTTGGATGGATGAAAAGGTTTCTCCAAGTTCCCAAAATTGAGAACCTCTAAGTCTCTTCACCAAGGTTAGATTGGAGAAGAAATGAGTGACCTTGGAGTAGTGGGATTACTAGATGCACCCTCCAAGGGGCCGGCCTCTTTAGAGAGAAATGGAGAGACATGTTCTCTCCAATTTTCTCCAAAACAAACCCTAAATGAATTTTGGCTATAAAGTCATATTTATAGCTTTATTCATTTGAGTGGCAAACTTGTAAATAAGTCCAAGTTCACTACCCTTAACAATATGGCTGGCCTTAGGGTGTATTTGGGTTGTTTGGGCCTTTGTGAATATTTAGTCATTAAGTTGTCATACAACTTAAGTCAATGGGCTTAACGTTCGAAGCCCATTGGGCCTTAAGGTCCAAAAACTATCCCGAGGTCTTTAACGAACTTATTCATTTGATTAATTAACATATTAATTAATCCTTGCCATTAATAAATAATTAAACCATTTAATCATTCTTACTCATCTCCATTGTTTCTTCAATCTTCACCTTACACGGTGTACGATCCATTAGGTTCCTTTTAGCGAGGCAGTGGGCGATTAAAACCATTTCACATCGATTGTGAATTGAAACTTACTTTCAATTCTCCCTTTAGTGATTACACACGTTTAGGGCTTCCACAAACCATGAGTGACACCTAGCAGCATATCATGGTTACCCAAGCTAATCAGAAGAGGTGGAGAACCTATTCAGTTTAGGATTACAAATGCAATACGGTCTTTCTCTAATACAATACTCTTGACCATATTGTTTGGTTTGATAGTTTATTTATTCATGTCTACTATCCAATGTGATTCGTGTGCTTATATGATTACCTTGAATGTGATTTGGAACGCTTTCCTAAATCTCAT